GAGAATGCAAACCTGTGGAGTAATCCCTCCTTTAAAGTAATTACAGCTGTCCACTCCGGACAATCTAACAACCCTTACAGCGACGTATTCGCCATGGCCTGATCCGGTCATACCCCAATCGCACACACGATGCACCCACCTGACACTACACCATAAAAACTGCTTCGACCAAAACCTTGAACAAAATATCTCTGCGTTTCGCCCCGAGTGCTTTATCGCGCATCCAATCGTCTCGCTGGCGCATCAGTTACGACACCTAACAGTCGATGTTCATGATGCCCAGCAGTACCCAAGGTCCATGGAGCAACGAAAATCCAGCAATACTCCCTGATGCGATTTTAATAAGTCTCAGTCACCTTTTCAAATTTTGTGCACATGTTTTTCCTTCGGCAGCATCAAGTCTTATTAGAAATCGTCTCTTTGTTGCGAACTGTCGCTTTTCTCCTCAGTACCACGCTTTAACTTCGCCATCGCTTGGTCAAGTGTAGCCATACTGTATTGCCGTGAATCGAGAGCGAACGACCGACATGACGATCGCCCGTCAATCGCTCCTGCATGGTTGTTAGGGGGATAAACAAGCGATCATCAAGATTCCATGAACCACCAAGGACTTTTCCCCGCCGTCGCATGACACCCACAACCCTGAACCGCTCGGCACGCGATCGTGCCGCCAGCCGCCCGACCACCCCTCATAATCTAGGACAACCTTAACCTCCTCGCCAATCGGATTCTTCTCACCGAACAATGCCTCTGACACATCCGCCGCTAGAACACGAGACTTTGGTTCGATTTGTGATATCGCTTCGGAATAAATCGACCCTGTTGGGGTCCCCAACTCATCCCAATTTCGTAGAAGGGGATAACACCAATCACTCCTGTGCGTTTCTCCGCACCACCATTGGCAAGCACAAGGATATTATAGTAATTGATACGACACCACGCGCCGGAGACAGATGGGCATTCGGCCTCAATGGCAAGCACATCCTCATATGTCAAATATTCACCGCTACGATTGGGTTCCCAGCGGTCACCTTTTCTAATCCATGAGTTGCGATTTAGGCGGAAGTGATTAGCACCCCCATCTTTTCAAAACGAGTCAAGAATAATAAGCTTGGCACCCGTCACCATAGCAATCATGACAGCACCGAAGCCCCACCACACGACAATCCCAATCATCGTCCAAAAGAGACCGCATCTTATTTCGTACGGATGGCTGTGAATCCAATTAAAAATCCTTCACTGAGTTTCAAGCTTACTTCCTCCTTTCACGTTTATTCTACTTTCAGCATCGTTTTCTTGTATTTCTATATGTGCCAATAACCAAAGCATCCCGCCGGGTGGTGCGAACCAATCAATATAGTTTGGACTACGTCAAAAGAGCGTGCAAATTATGGGATGTAAGAGAGCCGTCAATATAATCCACATAACGTCAATATAATTCACATAATCTTGCAATACGCTCATTACAAATCTTACAAATCAGAAAAACGCCCTCAGCCATTGGAGAGCAGAGGGCGGGTATGTTTTAATTCTCTCATGTTTCACGCTTCACGTTTCATCACATCTCCGAAAGCACCTGACGGAATTCATCTACTCCCGTTTTTGCCGCTTCGCTTGATTTTTCTTTCATTTGCGTGGCGCTAGGACATATTATGGTGCACTAGAGAAATACATATACACTTGCCAATTGCACAGCGACCTTCACCAGAAGTTTCCAAAGTCCCCCTGATCAGCTTTGGAAATTGCTGCTAGGGTCGCGTGCATTGGTAGTGTCTACGTATGTCTCAGTCTCACCATAGGTCCCTGTAGGTCGAAAACTCCTCCATCAGATCAGAGTCCACGAGAATCGGGATCGGAACGGAGGAGGATCTCCGAATCCCGATGCCTCACTCTGTGAAGATATTGTAACAACTTGACCGAAATGGTGCGTAATGCTATAATCGTCCGCGTCCTAATCCATTGGAGAACAACTGTGTTGTATCATCACGATGAAGGAGAAAATTGATGGGAACACTACACGGTATCATTCGAGACAGCGTTTCAGGCGAGCCGGTCGAAGCTAAAGTGCATGTGTTGACGAGCAGTGGAGATTTTGTGCATCCCGCTGGCAGCATCTTGAAAGTGGGTCCCGGTGAGCCATCCTTTTATAGCGCAGGCGAGTTCACGGTGAATGTCCCACGGGGGTCAACGGATATTATCGTTGAACGGGGCACAGAGTATGAACCGCTGCGGAAAGTGGTCTCAGCTCCTCAAAAAGGGCACGTTGATGTCGAGTTGCAACTCAAACGGTGGACGGATCTCCCATCGCAAGGTTGGTATCCGGGCAACACGCATCTCCACTACAGCGAGAATGAGATGCAGCCCGACGCTCGATTGAACCTCGACCCAAAAGTCCATGATCTGAGCGTAACCGTGGTTAGTATCCTGCAGCGACGTGAGCTGCCTTATGCCAGCAACAAGTACCCAATCGGGTTTATGACAGACTACTCAACCGCACATCATCTAGTAGACTGCGGAGAAGAGAAATCGACACAACTATACCGCCGGGGCGAATGGCGTATGGACATATCATGCTTGCTAGCGTATCCGCAACATGGTAGAACCGGTCAGCCGCGGCGATCTCGTCAGCGATTTTGATCCCGATTATCCGCCGCTCTGCTACGCCTGCGACGATGCAAAACGGCAAGGTGGCATTGTGCTATGGTGCCACAACGGAATCGGGATGGAGGCACCGGTCGCAGCGGCACTGGGCAAGCTAGATGCTTTTAACCTCTTCGACCCATTCTGGGCGGATCCAGAGTATGACATCTGGTATCACTTGCTTAACTGCGGCATTTCGCTGCCAGCATCAACTGGAACCGATTGGTTTATCTGCTCAAACAATCGCGTCTATGTCCAAACAGACCAAGAATTCACCTACGAGAACTGGTTGCGGGGGTTGCAGGGGGGAAATACATTCATCACGAACGGACCAGCGTTATTTCTCACCGTTGATGGTACGATGCCCGGTGGACGAATTGACTCTCCGAATGGTGTGCCCCGCAAGCTATCAGGGGAAATTTCGTGGCATTCACACTATCCGATTAACCGCGTGGAGCTAGTCCACAACGGCAGCGTTGTGCAACGCAAGGATTTCAATGAAGCACCGGAACAGAATGGTGAGTGGGGATTCGATCTCGAAATCGAAGCAGATGGATGGATTGCCGCACGCGCCTACGGTGATGCGAGAGATAGCTTTGCACAGGCGATATATGCACATACCAGCCCAGTGCAGATCGGCACAGGACGATCCCCCCGGCATCGCACAGGAGTCCGCGGCGTTTTTTGTCCGCTCAATTGACGATTCTATTGATTGGATCAGTCGGATTGGCAAGTTCACCCAAGATAAGCAACGAGAGGAAATTTTGCACCTGTTTAATGAAGGACGGAAGATCTATGCAGGTCTGACAGCGGGGCAATAGAGGGTTTACTTCCCGATAACGCTGTAGTAAATCGCATTGAACAGCAGCTTAAATGTTCCGTGCGACTGCGCTCGATGCTGCGGTTTGAATCCGAACAGAATCACATGCCCCTTTCCCAGCTTGACATCCCAGAGCGCGCCTTTCTCACGAATCCGTTTCTCTCCCTCGATCCAGCCGCTCATGAGTGGATTGAAGTTGGGATAAGCTGCAACTCTTTTTCCACCTCTCGCCTCAAATGCCGGACCCGACTTGAAAAAGACCGCCATTTCACGCTCCAGCCCGTAACCAATTGGATGGGTCGTTTCAACGAAAACACGCAGCAGCGAGCCGGGACAAAAAAATTCCGTCCCGGTCGAGTTTTGCGGACCTGATTGGTCTGACTCCAGAACGTTGGTAATTTCCAATCCAAAATATTCCGTTGGCAACTCGGTCGCCCAGTTCAAACAGATAAGCGTACCACCCTGTTCAACAAAGGTGCGAAGGTTCGCCACGCCCTCCAACCCAATACCGCCCACGTACTCCGGCGGGATGCTGCCTTCCGCATGCCCTTCAATCATCGTTGATGCCTTCATGTCGGGCAGGATTATCGCATCGTAGCCTTCGACTAAATTCCCGGCGCGGATCTCGGCATCCGTCAAATTGCGATAAGGGAACTCATGCGCTTCGAGGGTCCACCGTGTCCAGCCTTCATCCATGTTCGCCACCCACGGTTTATAGAGCCCCAAGCGCGGTTCCCTCAGTTGTACTTTGACATCTACGCAGCGTTGATTTAGCGGATAGATTTCAATCCCAAGGGATTCAGCGAGATGGCGCAATTCGGCGGAATCGCTTCCGGGTATTCGGTCTGATTTAAGGATAATCGCCCCACGGGGCAGGTGCAGGTCTTTCGAGACGGTTTCTCCCTGCTGCTGATAGATTGTATATTCGTCCTTTTGGAGCAATCGATTCAGTGCTATGGTCTCTAAGTTCGTTTGATTTCTGAAAGCGTAGACGACCCCTTGCTGAAAATCAACTCCGTCAATGTGTAGTTTGCCTGCTGCCGCCGGGATTTCCGCGACGGGTGCTAAGTCTGCCTCAAATTTGTTGACTACCCGGATAACTTTGACGCCCATCTGTAGCGGCAACGTCCAGCCCGCGATGTCATACGGACGTTCCGCCGGTGCACCGGGTGCTGGGATGCGTCGAGGATACTCTTGCACCTCAAGGAGATCCTTAGCATGTGCTCGAAACGGCTGGGCCATCGAGACAACGTAAGTCCCTTCAGGATATTCGACAGTATCAGCCGTGAAAATCGTGTTTGCCCGATGGATCTGCACACCACCACGCTGTAAAATCTGCAGCATCTTGAGCGCGGTATCGATATCCCGTTGATTCGTCGGCACGAGAAATGCGCGTGGCGGTTCCCCTTCGCCCTTCTCAACAGCGTCCAATCCCATCTTATAGAAATTGGTGAGAAACATCTCCTTCTGTTTGACAGCGATTGACATTATTGAATACGCTGCCGCCTTCTCATATTCGATAATGTCGCGCAACTGCCACCAACCGCCGGGCCACGGTTCGGGAAAGTTGGTCTGCTGCGCGTATTCGCTCAACCCCCGTCGATGCCCCCTCAAACTCAATCTCGGTTGAAAAATTGGCGAAGCGATGTTGACACTGGCAGCCTCTGTCAAAATGCCTACCATGTTGTGGCGATACGGGACGGTGCGAAAACCGCCGTGCCACCACGTATCGTAGACCGCGTTGGACAGTACGCCGGTGAACCCTTGCGATGTGAGATCCAACGCCATCTGTGCACCGATTAGGGAGAGTTCACGCTGCAACAGCGGCGGGATATTCGGATTGACAGGATGGAAGTAGGGCGGAATCACGAACCGTGCCCCTCTGTTACCCATCTGGTGCACGTCGTAGACCACTTCAGGAAACCACTCCTCGTAAAGAATCTTGGTTACTAGCTGCGTTTCAACCTGTGTCAGCATGAAACCAATCTCGGTTGTTATCGTGTCCGGTGTATTTGTGGTAGAGCCAAGGCATCGGCGCGCCTTCATACGGCGTGTTGACGGTGCGCTCGTACCAGTCAATCACCATATTCAGCCCGTCAGGTTGCGGACGGATCAGCAGGAGGATGTGGTTTTCCAGAATCTCCTTGATCTCCGGGAGTGTTTCCGTCGCTAGCTGATAAGCCAGTTCCATCGACATCTGGGACGAAGCGACCTCCGTTGAGTGGATGTTGCAGCTAATCATGATGACCGCTTTTCCCTCTTGCGCGAGTTGCTTCAACTCTGTCAAGTCGTGTCGCTGGGGATTGGCAAGTTTTTCGCTGGATGGCTTTGTAGTGATCGAGGTTCGCCAAATTTTCCGGCGAAGATATCAGGACCAACACAAAATCGAGTCCCTCAGTGGTTTTGCCGCGCTCTTCTAGGACCACACGATCCGAACTTGCGGCCAGCGATCGCAGATAACCGGTGATAGTCTCCCAACGCGCCAGCTTATAATCCGCCCCTATGGGAAAACCGATCGCTTCCTCCGGGCTGATAATCTGTGCGTGTGCTGAGATACCTATCAGCAGTAAGCTAAAAACTCCGATGAAAATAGAACGATATTTTTGTCTCAAGATCCACTCCTTATTGAGGTCGGACTAGACTATTTGTCAGTTACCCCACCCTGAAGGGTTGGGGCTTGTTGCCCGTTTCCCCGGGATTTACAAGGTTCTGCGCTTCTTTCCTCTCACGAGGTGTTTCGGGGGTGTTTGTTACCACCACACCTCCACGCAAGGCTACAGCAGCCTTTTTGATATTTATCGCAGCGTTATGGTCTCTATCCAAAATCAAGCCACAATTAGGACAATCATGTATCCTTATATTAAGAGACTTCTTTACACGCGAGCCACAACCTGAGCATTTTTGAGATGTGTATTTGGGGTCAACTTTCGTCAACTGTTTGCCAGCGTTTGCAGCTTTGCTTTGCAGTATCAATCGAAAGTTACCCCAACCCGCGTCTGATATGCTCTTTGAAAGGTGATGGTTCTGCACCATGTTACAGATTTTCAAGTCCTCAACGGCAACTTCCTCACATTGTGAAAAAAGCCGATGTGCCGTTTTATAGTGAAAGTCTCTACGTTGATTCGCAATATGTTCATGAACATTAGCAACATGTTCACACTGTTTATTATATCGCTTGCTACCCTTTTCACGACGAGATAATAACCGTTGGGATTTGCCAAGTTGCTGTTCCGACGTGCGAAAATAGCGAGGGTTCTGAATCTTATCGCCGTCTGAAGTGGTCAGAAACGATTCAAGTCCAACGTCTATACCAATGGTTGTCTCAACACCAACTTCAGGGGTATCAGGGACTTCAACAGCGATATTTGCATACCAACCACTTGCTTTACGTTGTATCGTTAGATTCTTAATCTTTCCATCAGGTAGAGGACGGTGATACCGAATTTTGATATGACCTAACTTAGGCACAACAAGGCGTGCCACCGCTTTCGGATATTGCGTATCAATTGCTTCGACAGGTGGCTAAAAGTCATTGACCTATATCGTCTTTCACCTTTGAAACGTGGGAAACCCGGTTGCTCACCTCTTTTTACCCGACGAAAGAAAGCTTGGTACGCTTTGTCCAAACGGCGAAGGGCATCTTGCAAGACATCACTGTGTAACGAAGCAAACGGAGCGGATTCTTGTTTCAAATCTGGCAACGCATCTGCTTGAGTCACCCAAGAAACAGATTCACCCGTTGTGCTATATACAGTCTTCCGCCACGCGAGGGCTTGATTGTATAGGTTTCGTAACATTTCAAGCCATGCAAACAGTTTTTTCGCTTGCTTGATAGTCGGATATATCCGATACTGGTAGGTTTTAATCATTGGGATTGTCTTTCTGTCTTTCATATTGATGCTACTGGAATGTGGGAGACTCTAACCTGCGTTAGGGGTAGCATTCTCCCACGAAAGACAAGGCAATTATACCATTTTTTACAAGGTTTTATAATAAAAAAAAAGAAGGCGCAGTTTCCTCCCCTCCCTAAAGGGAAGGACTCTCCACTGCGAAGATTTGATGAAATTGCTCGAACAGATGCCGGATACAGTCAGCCAGAAAATTCAGAATGTGCTGACTCACGAAGAAGAAGAGCTCATTCGTGTGTCCACTGATCTGAATCCTGATGGCACCTTTGGAGAGCAGTGGCTCATCGCCACAGATAGGCGAGTGATTGTGGTGCCTGCGGAAGGAATCAACGGGGTTGTTGACGTACCCATCAGGGAATTAGCAGCTGTCCAGACCGAACCCTTAGTCGGTGGGGGGGCGCTTGGAAATCGAGCGAAAGAAAGAGGCGACCCTCTTTGTTCCTTACTCTAGCTCGCTTGCGGAAAAATTCTCTGAGGTGGCACGTGGGCTTGAGCAGCTTCGCCAGCAAGACGAATTTTTAATTAACACAGAACTTAATCAGATACGGTGCTCCAAATGTGGTAGGCTGTTACCTGAGAAGAACGGAATCTGCACAGCTTGCATTCGTCGGTTGGCAACGTTGGGACGAATTGCTAGTTATTTGAAACCCTATAAGTGGCGTGCTATCCTCTTGGCACTCGTCTCACTAGTAACTATCGGTTCAGAACTTGTTCCACCGCTGGTGACGCGACACATCGTTGATAAGGTCTTCCTGCCACCGGAGGAAACGGCTGGCAGCATTGATCAAAGGGCGGCACTTTTGGGATGGTGCATACTTGCTTTGATTAGCCTTCGTATACTGAGTTTGGGTATGGAGTTGGCACACGGATGGATAGTTAGCTGGTTGAGTGCACGGGTGACAGCAGATATCCGAAGCCATCTTTATCGGCGGTTGGAGATGCTTACAATGCAATTTTACTCAGACCGTAGGGTGGGGGCACTGATGTCGCGTGTGACGCGGGACAGCGACATGCTGCGGGAATTTCTGGTTGATGGACTGCCTTACTTGGTAATCAACACCCTGAAGATTTTCGGCATACTCGGCCTCCTGTTCTGGATGCATTGGCAGGTTACCCTTTGCATGCTAATTCCCATCCCTTTCATCATAATCTGGGGAAGAATTTTCTGGCAACGGATGCGACGAATCTTCAACAAGCATGGTCAGGGCTGGGCGCATCTCAGCGCACGATTAAACGAGGCACTCGCCGGTATCCACGTCGTAAAGGCTTTCGCTCAAGAGGTCCGGGAGATACGAGAATTTGAGAAGAAGAACACCGATTTGATGCGGATTTCTAGGAAAACCGCTCGTCACTGGTTCGTGTTCTTCGCAGTGACGAGCTTTCTGACAGGATGTGGGGGAGTAATCATCTGGCTGGTTGGGGGATTGGAAATTCTTAGAAACAACTTAACCCTAGGCACCCTCACGGCGTTTTCCAGTTATATGTGGCTTATCTACGGGCCTTTAGAGTGGTTTAGCCGCGTCAACAGTTGGATGACACGGGCTTTTGCCGGTGCGGAGCGTATTTTCGAGGTCATGGATGCGTCACCCTGAAGCTTACGATGATCCCAAGGCAACCGCACTCGCAGAAATAAAAGGACAGGTCACCTTCAAAGATGTGACCTTCGGCTACGACAAGAGTAAACCGGTTCTTCACGAAGTGGACCTTGACGTTGCCCCCGGAGAGATGATTGGGCTCGTAGGAAAATCCGGAGTGGGCAAGACAACCACCGTGAACCTAATCGCCCGGTTCTACGATGTAGACCGTGGTGCCATTGAAATTGACGGTGTGGATGTACGCAACCTCCGTCTAGAAGACCTACGCAGTCAGATTGGTATCGTGCTGCAAGAGCCGTTCCTCTTTAGTGGAACAATTGCCGAGAACATCGGATATGGCAACCCGGGTGCCACTTTCGAGGAGATTATGCAGGCAGCACAGGCGGCGAATGCACACAATTTTATCGTAGCAAAGGCGGATGGCTATGATACAAGTGTTGGAGAACGGGGGAACAACCTGTCGGGTGGAGAAAAGCAGCGCGTTTCTATCGCTCGCGCCCTCCTCCACGACCCAAAGATCCTTATTTTGGATGAAGCGACCTCGTCGGTGGATGTGGAGACCGAGAAGGAGATTCAGGAAGCAGTTGTCCGGCTGATCAAAAATCGGACGACCTTTGCCATTGCTCATCGGCTGTCGACCCTCCGGAACGCTAACCGGCTGGTCGTCCTTGATGCCGGACGTATTGTAGAGGTCGGCACACACAGTGAATTGATGGACAAGAAGGGCGCATTTTATGACCTTGTAGCATTACAACAACAGACCTCTGAAATTATTGGGATCAGAGAATAGCGACAGCTAACTCAACGAGTTAGATTAAGCAACATTTTTCACTTATACAACTCATGAAAGGAATACCAATTATGGCAACAACCCATAGACTTCAAGCAAGTTACTTGCATTCTATCACGCGACGGATATTTGTCGCAGCAGGCGCAACCCGCCACATCGCTGACGATGTGGCAGAAATTCTGGTCAATGCGAACCTCGCCGGACACGACTCACACGGAGTCCTCCGCATCCCTGCATATCTGCGCAGCATTGAAAGCGGTGGGCTTGTTCCCAATGTGGAACCAGAAGTCACTAGGGAAACGGCGAACACCATGTTTTTCGATGGGAAAAACTGCTTCGGTCATTACATCGCTAGACAGGCGATGAACCGTGCAATTGAGAAAGCAAAAGCAGCGGATATTTGTAGTGTAAGTATCATCAATACCGGTCACATTGGTCGGCTGGGTGAGTATGCAGAAGCGGCGGCGGAGGCAGGCTGTATCGGCATTATTACCACCGGTGGGGGTGGGCGAATGCAAGGAATTACGGTGCCCTTTGGCGGTGCCGGCGGTGCAACAGCACTAACCCAATTGCTGTGGGTGTCCCAACCGGTGACGATGCCCCTTTGTATTGATATTGCCACAAGCATGATTGCCGAGGGCAAAATCCAAGTCGCACGGAGCAAGGGCGAAGATTTGCCGGAAGGTCACATAGTGGATAAGAACGGAAATCCGAGCATCAAACCTGCGGACTTTTATGATGGTGGATTCCTCCTGCCGTTTGGCTTGCACAAAGGCTATTCAATTGGCTTGCTGGTCTGTTTGCTTGGGGGATTATCTGGCAGCTTCGATGTTGAAAAGGGCGCGATGGGCGGCTGTTTTATGCAGGTCATAAACGTCAATGCGATGACGCCGTTGGAGGAATATCAACAGGGCGTGCGTGCTTTTCTAGATGGCATCAAGTCTATTCCTCCCGCACCGGGCTTTAACGAGGTGCTTGTCCCCGGTGACTTTGAACATCGGAATCGCGTCCAGCGTTTGGCTGACGGCATTGAAATCCCGATACTATCCATCAGCAGATTTCGGAGTGTGCAGAAAAACTCGGTGTTTCAATGAGCGAAGACGCGGTTGAAGATGCCGACGCAGAACGGTACGAATGAAGCGTAAAACGTGATATGTGAAAGGCAAATTCTGCAAAAAATGTTATCTTTTTCTTCGTTGGATTTTCACATTTAATCTGGGCAGGTTAACTCATTATGCTATTTTTCATCATCTGGATTATTTGTATACCGCTGGTTGTCTGGGTTATTCTACAAATCGTTTCCAAACGCAAAGCGGACACAACAGCAGATCCTGACGCCCAACTTGAGGAATGCGCAATCTGCCATGAAGAGTTTTCGATAGATGCGCTGCTAGAGAAAGAGGTCGGTGGCTATAGCCGAATCTACTGTTTTTGCGGCGGCTGCATTGAACAGCTGCGCCTCGACTATCAAGCAAAGATGGAACACCGGGATGAGGAGGATAAGCACATCAGTGAATCTGCCAACCTGTAAATTGCGTCATTGAACGCATGAACTCAATCTGTCATAAAGGAGGTCGATATGTACGATTTAGTTACATTTGGCGAAGCGATGGTACGACTCACTTCGCCTGAATTTAGACGGCTTGAACAATCATCAACGCTGCAGATGGACGCTGGCGGGGCGGAGTTGAATGTCGCAGTCAATGGGGCTCAGTTAGGACTACGCACCGCATGGGTCTCTCGCTTGGTTGATAATTGGTCGGGAAAATTCATCACTAACAAAGGACGTGAGTTAGGCGTCGATATGTCTCATATTGCGTGGGCAGCGTTTGACGGTGTCGGGCTAGAACGGAACGGTTTCTATCATGTTGAATTGGGCGCGGGTCCTCGTGCTAGTAGCGTAACCTATGATCGTGGCTATTCAGCAATCTCAAACATCCAACCCGGCGAAATTAATTGGTCGCAGATTTTTGACGGTGCCCGTTGGTTTCACCTGAGCGGCATTACTCCTGCACTATCTGACTCCGCAGCGGTAGTGGCAAAAGAAGCCCTTCAGGCAGCACGCGCGGCAGACGTAAAGACAAGTTACGACCTAAACTTCCGATCAAAGTTGTGGAGCGCAGAGCAAGCACAGGCTGCGAATCGCGAGATGATGGACCACGTCTGTGTGCTCATCGGCAACGAAGAGGATTTCGAGATGGCACTCGGCTTCAAAGCGGAAGGCACAACTGAAAGCTTCAGCCAACTTGATCCAGAGAGTTATAAAGAGGTCGCACAACGGGTTTGCGAGGCATTCCCCAATATCGAAATGATTGGCACCACTTTGCGCGATGCAAAAACCGGTTGGCTGAACGATTGGCGCACGCTTCTGTTCGATAGATCAGACTTCTACCTATCGCGCATCTACGAAAACCTCGAACTTGTTGATCGCGTCGGCGGCGGTGATAGTTTCTCCGCAGGGCTAATCTATAGCCTGCTCAACGGCAAGTCCCTGCAAGAGGCGGTTGATTTCGGTGGTGGCTACTCCGCGCTTGCGCATACCTTCCCCGGCGATTTCAACTGGGCAACTGCCGAAGAAGCTGAAAAGGCAATGGAGGCAGGCAGCGTCAGGATTCGACGGTAGGCTTTTGGAATAACCCCGAATTGTCGGAGCGGGTGAGCTTCATCTCACTGGAGGTTAGCTCATCGGCACTTTAATTTGTCCATCGGACTTGCTCACTCAAGGGTTTTCGCTCAAGCGAGGGCACTTCAGCCGGATAGCCCATATAATAAAATCCGATGATATACTCCTGATCGGCATCCATACCGAGCAGATCGTAGGTATTCTGCTCCATCGTGATGGCACCGGTGCTCCATTGCATTCCGACCCCTCGCTCCCACCCGGCAAGTTGAATGTTCAACATAGCGCAGCAGGTTGCCGCGTAGTCTTCGCGCTTCCGTTGCTCGTCACCATCTTGAGTGCACGAAACTGCCACAATTGTGGGTTTGGAAGTAAACTTCTTGAACCCTTGCTCCCCAACCTTGGCGAGGGTTTCCTCATCTGCAGCTGCTGCTGCTTTTGGGTTGGACGTAATTTTTTCAATTTGGATTTCACGATACCGTTCAGCGAGGATTAACTTCGTTTCTTCGCCAATGACAGTGAATCGCCACGGTTCGGTCAGATGGTGATTGGGACTCCAGATACCTGCCTCAAGAATATCTTCGAGAACATCTTGGGGCACTGGGCCCGGCTTAAACTGAAAAATCGTTCGGCGAGACCGAATCGCCTCTGTAACAGGGAAACTCTGATCGGTCGGAACAGAGCGTATCTCAGTGGTCAAAGTATCTTGACTCATCGCTTTCTCCTTTTTTTGAAACTGAGACTCATTTTCAATCACAGACTTGAAAAGATTATAAACCTATGGAGAACATTTGTCAAGAAGTTTCTCGCAGAAAAAATATAGGTAACTAAGAAGTTGTGTTATGCGTTTTTCAAAAATAAAGGTTAACAATTCCGGCTCGATTTGGTCTCAATAACATTATCCCTCTAGTGAGGGCGTTGTGGGCTGTGAATAGGGTTGACCTCACCAATGTCGTGTGATATACTGGCCACAACGGCAAATGAATTAATCACAAGATAGTATAAAACCATCTTTAACCCAAAGGAGTCATTCAATGCAAGTTGTCGATCTTGGCAGAACAGGGCTGCGAGTTTCGCGGCTTTCGATTGGAACAGGTACACATGGATGGGGTGGAAAATCGGATCAGACGGCACTGGGATTGAAAGGATTGGTCGACCTCCTCCATTTTGCTCACGACCAAGGTGTGACATTTTGGGATTCCGCAGATCAATATGGTAGTCACTCCTATATCAAGGAATCTCTCAAGGGATTGGATCGGTCATCAGTCGTTATCACATCAAAAACCGTTTCGCGCACTAGGGAATCAGTTGAAAACGATGTTAAACGGTTCTTGAAGGAGATCGGATCAGACTACGTCGATATTGTGTTGCTGCATTGCCTCACCGACCTCGATTGGCCCACGCGTTATCCGGACGCGATGGAAGCCTTAACGCGGTGCAAAGAACAGGGGCTCATACGTGCGCATGGCGTTTCGTGCCACGATTATGGCGCATTCCAAACGGCTGCCATGACCAAATGGGTCGAAGTTGTATTAGCCCGGATTAACTATGCCGGATCCCACATGGACGCATCACCCGCTGACGTTATCCGGACTATGGAACAGATGGCAGCATTTGGCAAAGGCATCTACGGCATGAAGGTGCTCGGACAAAGCAAGTTAGCTGAGGAAGACGGTCCGAGGAAAGGCATCGAATTTGTCATGGGGCTGCCTTGTGTTCACGCAATGACAATTGGCATGACCAGCCAGCGCGAAGTCGAAGAAAACGTTGCAATTGTCAATGAACTTGCTGATTAACTCAGGTCGCTACTTATCCCCTGCACAAATCCTACTGCTGCAAATAGCGTGCTGCAATCTTGATAGAGGACGGATCTCGATCTTGAATCGGAGTATCCAACAGAACGAATACCAGCCTTCTGAAATTTTGGAAGTCTTTCCCCTAATTAAAGGAGTCACGTCTTGAAACGATTTGGGTTGAAGATTTTAAGTCCCCTTGTCTACGTTATCGCTGCGATTCTCTCTCAGGCTCCCGCACTACTCTTGGCGCAAACTCCGGAGCAGACGGAACAGTTGCAGCAGGAACATGAACGGAAAAAGGAGGAAAAGCGTAGTCTGGAAGAACAAAGAAACACGATTATCCAAAAGGAACAAGGGGTCTTACAGAAACTACAGGAGATTGAATCCAAGTTAGCCGCCAACGAAAAAGAACTTGCCCGGCATCAGCAAGAGATTGAAAATCATACACTTGAGGCTGCGGAACTTCAGAGAGAATTGGGGGAGCTGCTTTCTAAAGACAAGAAACAAAAGAAACGGGCTATAAAGCGGATTCGTGCAATTTATAAGCTAGGCTACAATAAGGAAGATGAGCACTTTTTGAAGATATTGCTTGGTGCTCAGGATATGCAAGATCTCGTGGAAAAGTATAAGTATATGGGTGTTATCGCCGAAGCAGATCAAGATATGCTAAAGGACATACAACTTCGGCAGAAAGACATTGCACAAAAATCTACTGAAATTGTTCGCCAAATCCAATTAGCAAAGGGGGCATCGAAAGCTGCGCAAGCCGAACGTTCACTCCTGCTCGTCCAGGAACGGAAACGTCAACAACTCCTGCATGAGTACCGGACAGAGAAAGGAACTCATAACCAAGCGTTAAGGGAGTTAAACGCTGCCGTTGCACTGTTAGGGGAGCACCTCGGAATCGTCAGCGATGCCGTCTTGCAGAGCAAGCGGAGGCAATTAAAAGCATTCGACCCGCGCTGTTTGGTAAACTCCCTTGGCCCGTTGTGGGAGTAGTTGTCCCAAACCAGACATCCACCGACCGTGGTCTCACCATTCAAACAAAGAAGGGGACCCCCGTGCGGTGTGTTGCAGATGGCCTTGTCTCAAACATCGAATATATTTTTGGCCATGGCAACACGGTTTTTGTTATGCACGGGAATGGATATATCTCCGTTTATGCACATCTTTCAGGTACATCTGTGAAACGGGGTGACACTGTTCAAGCGAAACAAGTGCTCGGAGCCGTCGGCGAAACCGGATCGTTGATTGGCCCAGTGCTTAACTTCCAACTCTGGCAATACCCTAAACCAAATGCGCCCCTAAACCTTTGAATACGCGAAGGTGGTTGACAAGAAAGATGGGTTAATATCAATTGGTTTTTCAATCGACATCCCAATTGGGGAGAAAACATGGCATACAAATACGAAACCGTTATCGGTTTGGAGGTTCACGCTGAATTATCGACAAACAGCAAACTCTTTTGCAACTGCGAGGTTAAGTTTGGATCTGAGGCAAATACGCAGACTTGCCCCATCTGTTTGGGGATGCCCGGTGTGCTGCCTGTGATGAATCAGCGGGCGGTCGAGTTTTCAATCCGTGCCGCTTTAGGACTGAATTGCAAAATTGCGTCTTACAGCAAATTCGATCGGAAAAATTACTTCTATCCAGATTTGCCCAAAGGCTACCAAATCTCACAGTATGACCTACCCCTTGCCTACGACGGTCATGTCGATTATGAACTGGACGGCGAAACGAAGCGTGTCCGCATTAATCGTATCCACTTAGAGGAGGATGCGGGAAAGCTAGTCCATGCGGACGTGACAGGAAATCCAAATCAGAGCTATGTAGACTTCAATCGTTCATGTGTGCCGCTGTTAGAGATTGTTAGTGAGCCTGATCTGCGCTCCCCTGCAGAAGCAATCGCCTACTGGCGCGCGGTCAAAGAAATCCTCGAATATGTCGAAATTAGCGATTGCAACATGGAGGAGGGGAGTTTCCGTTGTGATGCGAATATCTCCCTGCGTCCCGTTGGCAGCAAAGAATTGGGGACACGAACAGAATTGAAAAATAAAAATTCATTTCAGCATGTGATGACCGCCTTGGAATACGAGGAGAAGCGTCAAGCACGGATTCTCGATCAGGGGGGTAAAGTTATCCAAGAAACCGTACTGTTTGACATCAACACCGGTAGGACAGCCTCCATGCGTAGCAAAGAGGAGGCTCACGATTATCGCTACTTTCCTGAACCCGACCTTGTTCCTTTTGAGGTAGATGCAGCAGAAGTTGAACGTATCCGAGCAGCGCTGCCGGAACTACCTGCTGAACGCCGCAAGCGTTTTGTTGAAGAATACGGCATTCCTACCTACGATGCAGAGTTTCTCACTGCCACGCGACAGATGGCGGACTTTTTCGATGAAACAGCGCGTCTCAGCAGCGATCCAAAGGGGAGCAGTAACTGGATCATGGGGGATCTGTCGGGGCTGTTGAACAATGCAGGGATAGAGATTCAGGATGCTAAAGTAACACCCGCTCATCTCAGCGAACTGATTGAGCTAATTAAAAATCAGACAATCAGCGGCAAAATTGCTAAATCCGTCCTGCCCGATGTCTTTGAAACCGGCAAAACTCCAAAGCAAATCGTCGAGGAGAAAGGGCTTTCGCAGATTTCCGACGCGTCTGCAATCGAATCAATCGTCGATCAGGTCATCGAAGAAAATCCGGGACCCGCACAGAATTATCGCGACGGGAAGCAGAAGGCAATCGGTTTCCTTGTCGGTCAAGTGATGAAAGCCACTAGGGCAAAGCCAACCCGCAGATGGTCAACCAACTTTTGCAGCAGAAACTTGATGGGTAAGGGAACCAACAAACAATGGCTGAGATTGCCAACATTTTGCAGGCAGACACACCATCAGGTAGTTCTCAAGTCATTCTTTTTATTCCGAGTAAAGATCGAGAAGGGCATGAAGTTGATCAGGTGTACTGGGCTGATGAAAGCTTGAGTGTTGTTGGTCGGCTCTTTCGAGGAGGTACTGCTTTCCCACCCGGTAAAGGTGTGTGGCGTGATGACGTACGCGGTCGGCAGCTTCTTTTTGAGACTACTGTAATGGTTCTTTCGTTTGCTGATCCTAACGACTTAACTGAATTCGCTTTATTAGAACTCAGAGAATTTTTGATGCGTTTAGGACGGGAAACCAATCAGGGTGAAGTCGGTGTCGTTATAGATGGGATTTATTACGGTTTTACCCAATTTTAGGAGGGACAGCTGCCATGTCGAAAGCTAAACAGACTGATCGTTTGAAGGAACTCTTAAAGCCCGACATTGTCATTGATTTGGACAAGCGAGTTACCAATCCATTCGATCTCCTCCAGCTTCAGGCGCAACTTAATCAGATTTCCGACGCGTCTGCAATCGAATCAATCGTCGATCAGGTCATCGAAGAAAATCCGGGACCCGCACAAGATTATCGCGACGGGAAGCAGAAGGCGATCGGTTTCCTTGTCGGTCAAGTGATGAAAGCCACTAGGGGCAAAGCCAACCCACAGATGGTCAACCAGCTTTTGCAGCAGAAACTTACCGGCTAAGGGACCAACAACCGACTTGTCGAAGAAAGCTCGGTTCAAAGCAGTTATGACAATCCAAGACGCCTTCCACCAAGGTGCTGTGGTTTGTGCAACCCTTAGCGTACGATATTATCAGGTTTCATCGGAACACGCAATCGGGTTAGCAGCCGCAAGTTATTAATGCCATGACAATACAACATCCAAAGACAGACAAAATCAACTTGAAGGGGTTGACACTGCTTGAGCTAGAAGAACTGGTGACACAGTGGGGCGAACCGAAATATCGTGCGAAGCAACTGATGTCATGGATGTATCGCGGACGAGTGGAGACATTCGAGGCAATGACGAACCTGCCCCACAAGCTAAGGCAGAGGTTGGCAGATCTAGCTTGCATCGGTGGGCCACATGTCCTCACGCGCACGGCTTCCAACGCCGACACGGCAATCAAATACCTGTTTGAACTTACTGATGGCAGCCGGGTCGAAAGCGTCCTGATGTATGATCAAGATCGCATCACGGTCTGTGTTTCGTCACAGGTGGGGTGTGCGATGGCGTGCGATTTCTGTGCGACCGCGAAGATGGGATTTTTCCGTAATTTGACAGTGGCGGAGATTTTGGACCAATTGATAACAATCGAACGTGAATTGGACGACGAAAAAGGTGTGACGCATGTTGTGTTTATGGGGATGGGGGAGCCGCTGGCAAACTATGACCAGACTGTGAAAGCAATCCGCTTGATGACGGATGCGAATGGGTTAGGGATATCTGAAGGGAAGATCACCGTTTCCACCTCCGGTTTAGCCCGGCGGATGCGGCAATTCACCCACGAGCAACTCAAGTGCAATCTTGCCCTTTCGTTAAACGCCACAACGGACGAAACTCGAACACGCCTGATGCCTATCAACGCCAAATATCCAATGGATGAAGTCCTCAACGCCACACGGGAATGGGCACTTGCGACACAACGACCCGCCACACTTGAATATGTTCTTATCCAAGGTGTGAATGACAGTGTTGCAGACGCTAGACGCCTCCGTAAACTGATGGGACGGCTGCCGTGCAAGCTAAACCTTATCCCCTTCAACGAGATCGAAGGTGCCGATTTTCAACGCCCCAAACTCGATCAGATTGAACGATTCCGCCGCATAGTCGCAGATGGGCACCATGTCGCACCGATTCGATTCAGCAAGGGCAGAGACATCGCTGCCGCCTGCGGTCAACTCCGAACAATTTACGAAAAGCAGGGCGTGATGCTGCCGCAAGTGTCATAGCGAATTCCCATTATGCTTTCTGAGCTTGCTACCGCTATTCAGGTATCCATCCGTAAGAACTACAACCTTACCATCGAGTCAGCAACACCGATCGGCACCGGCGCAATGAGCACAACCATGCGGCTTGCGACCAATCAGGGAACATTGTTCCTGAAAATCTATAAGTCGGCGCGAAATCAGAAGACTCCTGCACAACTCGACCTTCAACGAATCGCCTTCACGCACACTGTCCAAGACTTTTTATATGAGGAAGGTTTTCCTGTTCCTCGCTTACTGCCGAATAATAGCGGAGAAACGTTCAGCGTATGTAACAGCCCTCTGGAAACAGGGGAAGTATATGCCCTCTCTGAATTCATTGAGGGATCTGACTACGATGTTGCGAATTCGGAGCAGCTACGTGCATCGGGGGAAATGCTTGGACGTTTACACCAGCAGCTGCGCCTATTTCAACCTCAAATTCAGCTTGCCGGACCTTCCCTAGAAACCGAACTCTTTATACAACTGGAAGCACGTTTAGCCCGCCTCCAACTCGTTGCGGAGAAAGATCCGTCGGCACCGCCCCAAATTGATTCATGGATTGATGAGGTTGGGATTCTCAAAAGTGCAGTCAGTACAGTACACGATGCGGAATCCGAACAAGGTTGGCTCATACATGGCGATTACCGCGCCCAAAATCTCAAGTTTGATGGCAGTGGTATTCGTGCAATCCTTGATCTGGACACCGCTTGTCCTGGGTCCCGCCTGTATGACTTGGGGTATGCACTGGTCTTTTTCCCTGCCGTTTATCAAGATATCCCTCTAACCTCAAATCAGCAATCTGTATTTCTGCGCGCATACGAAAACATCTGCCCTCTATCTGAAGTCGAACGAGAGAGGCTCCCCTTCCACCTACGGCTCGCCTTTCTACGCGGACTGTCACTCTGGCTAGATTTGTACTACTTTGCCGGGATGAGCGAGCGAATACGCCCTTGGATTCAAGGGTATCTGCAACACGCACAATTTCTGTTTTAATCCCAATTTCATTGAGATCCAAAAGCAACCCCGATGAACCGTGGGTTCAGAGCAACCTGCACGAATTTCTGGGGTTAACAGAGAATTCTATTTACATCCGCTCTGCTTTTAGTCTATAATAATCTCCGTATCAGGTCGAGATATAGTCTTCGACCAAGACAAAATTTCATTCTTTAGGAGGAAGACAATAATGGGATACACATTTCATCACGTTCATCTGCGTTGTGCAGATGTTGAAGCGGCCGTTGCTTACTACGAAAAGATGCTTGATGGCAAAGTTACGGAGCGGGTAGAGGTCCGCGGCTTACCAATTGTTCGGATGGATATCGGTGGAGAGAAAATCTTCCTTTCGCCGAAATTTGGCGATATGGAAGTGGAACCGACCAGCGGAAATCCACGCTGGGGCGTTTATCAACTGGCGTTTGGGGTAGAAGACCTTGATGCTACCCTTGCAGAGATGGAAGCAAAAGGGGCTGAGATTGAAGACGCTAAACCGTCTGGCTTACCGATCGCTTTCGTCAAGGGTCCAGATAACGTACAGATTGAACTCATTGAGGGGACAGTCTAGCTTTTGCGGACTGATACCCGTAGGGGAAGTATCACACAGAAGGCAAACTTCTCTCACACGAAGGAGTTAAAAAGTTTGCCTTCCTCTACTTCCCACTTGAGATATACCAGTGAGTAAATCGCCTTGAGAGATCTGACGGAAAACGACCAATTTTCTTGAAAAAGGGAGAGTAACAGATGAGATTGGAGTTGTACACCGCCGGCGTTTCTCAAGCGAGTTTCTTGGATTGGAGGGCAGGACTCTCGGAAGACGAACAAGCAGCGGGGCTGGAGGTGGCACACTCCCCAATCCAAGAGACACCGGAGGTTCTTCGAGAAAGGCTGCCTGTCGTTTTGGATGAACTTTGTTCAATTCCTGAGCAGCGGGTCCAATTTCATTCTGCGGATGCAGAACAGTTGTGCACCTTCGCTTATACAAATTACCAATCCCGTATGGATAGAGACTGGAACGCCTCCCTCTATTTCCCTGCAAAGGCGGCAATTTTCCTTCCCTTCAATGAAAAATTGCTTTCAAGACGAGTTGCACACCTCTACTATCAGGAGGGAACATCGGACAAGATTTATCATCTTTATCTTGCCCAATCGTTGACGGACGATCGTTACTCTGTCATCAGCCGCTATGGTCGTCGTGACGGAGGCATTCAACAAGCAAAGAAGGTGTTTGATTCCCACCTTGAGGCAGCTGAGAAAGAGTGGAACCGACTCCACCACGACAAACTCCAGAAGGGGTATCAGGTCGGACACCCAACCCCACCCCAACAACTCACATTGGCATTGTCTTTCTAACTATGAAGTACAGCGAATTTTTCCATACAATTCAGGGCGAAGGCAAACTAGTTGGCGTACCCTCTGTTTTCTTTCGGACTAGCTACTGTAATCTAAGATGCGTGTGGTGCGATTCGGCTTACACCTCTTGGCACCCAGAGAACAAGGACATCACCCTTACGGAAGCGGTCGAAGCGATCACAAAATACGATTGCAAGCATGTCGTCATCACAGGGGGCGAACCGTTCATCCAAGTCAAGGAGTTGGTGGAACTCTGCCAAGAACTGGAACGACGCGGTCATCACATCACTATCGAAACGAATGCGACCATTTTGCGCCTGTGGCAGCACACCTCATCTCCATGAGTCCCAAACTGCGAAACTCCAATCCGCCCGGTGACAACCGTTACTTTCAGAGACATGAGCGCGGACGCATCTGCCCCGATGTTATCCGGCAATTCCTTGATCGGTACGAGTGCCAAGTCAAGTTTGTCGTTGATCAACCGGCGGATATCGAAGAAATTCAAGCGCTACAAGCAGAAATCCCACTCCCCACAGAAACAATTGTGCTGATGCCCCAAGGCATAACCCCCGAAGAGTTAGCACCTAAACAGGAGTGGCTTGTAGACATCTGCAAGGAACACGGCTATCGCTATTCGCCACGGGTTCATGTTGATATTTGGGGCACCAAACGAGGGGTGTAACGCCGTGGATAACCCCTTTGAGGTCAAATATACCCGAGGATAGTGTGAAGGTTACAAACAATCCGAAACCTCGTCCGAAAGTGAATTTCCGACCGGGTAGCCGAAAATACAACCAGATGCTGGACACGAAGCGTGGAGGTCCATGGATGCCCGAAAAAATCAACCGAACTTTTGATGGTGGACAGGAATTCGACACCTCAAACTTCAAAAACGGCAATCCTGCAACAAGATATGTAGACCCCCAAACCGGAGATTGGGTCGTAGTTGATGATGTCACAGGTGATATAATTCAATTTGGGAATCGGAATATGACATCGACTGACTTGCCCGGTGGACCTCCCTAGCCTCAATCGTGGAGAGTAGGCAGACAATCATGAGCAAATTTGATTTGAATAATTTTAATATGCCGTATTTGCAACAATTGCCAGGTCATTTCATCACGAAAGCGATCAAAGCTAGCTTTATTGATGAACCGATTTGGCGGCTGAAAGATGCAGTAGGGGTCATTAAGGCGATCGAACAAACTCAATTTACCGTTACGAACATATATGTTTATGCGCTCAAAAACGGTGTACCAATCGTGCCATCGGAGGCAGTATATGATTTTGAAATAGAGGGAATTTCCTCTTGATTATCCTTGGCATCAGATCGTGAAAAAATCATCGGATATGACGATGGCTTTTGTAAAGGAATTTCAATTTTTGACCGCCGATTCGTTCCACGGTCAAGAAGCTGCATTTTCTTTTTGGGCTTTCAATGAAAAAGTGTACCGCCGATTTCAGAAGTCTAGTGATGAGGCGGAAATACAAGAAGAATGATGAGGGATAATCTGAATGAAATACGATATACTGCTCAAAGGTGGGACCGTTATTGACCCCACGCAGAAATTGCATGACCGGCGCGACGTTGCAATTATTGACGGAAAAATTGCAGCAATTGAGGATGATATTTCTGCAAGAGAGGCGACGCAAACGGTTTTCGTTGAGGAAAAGTATGTAACTCCCGGCTTAGTGGACATCCACGCCCATGTCTACGCAGGCGTCACGACATGGGGGGTTAAAGCGGATCCGGTCTGCACAACGACGGGCGTCACGACAATCGTTGATGCCGGTAGCCCAAGTTGGGCAACATTCCCCGGCTTTCGGGAGTATATTGCACAGCCGGCGCAAACCCATATTTTAACCTATGTCCATATCTCTGGCATCGGTCTCGTTTATGGGCCGGTTGGTGAGATGCACGAACTTGAATACGCCCATCCAGAGAAGGTCGCTGACACGCTCATGGAGAATCGTGACATCACCGTTGGCGTTAAAGTGCGTCAGGGCAAATCCCAAGTCGGTGATAATGGCGTTGAACCGTTGAAGCTGGCAATCAAAGCTGCCGAACTTGCCGACACACAATCCGTCATGGTGCATATCGGGACTGGCGTTCCGCTTCCCGATGTTCTAAAACTGATGCGCCCCGGCGATGTCGTCACCCCACTGCTTCCAAGGGAACGGTGACTGTATCGTTGATGATAAAGGACGGGTTATCCCGGATGCGTGGGCAGCCCGCGAAGATGGGATTATCTTCGATGTCGGACATGGCGGCGGGAGTTTTAACTACGAGGTTGCTCAACGCGCAATGGAGCAGGGATTCATCTCGGATGTTATCAGTACAGATCTGCACTCCGGCAATATCAACGGTCCTGTCTACGATCTTCCGACAACGTTATCAAAATTCTTAAATCTTGGACTCTCGCTTGAAGAGGTCATTGAGAAATCAACGACTGCTGCGGCAAAGGCAATTGGGCGTGAGGCTGAACTCGGTCATCTCAAAATCGGGACGGTTGCCGACATTGCTGTTTTTGATGTCATTGAGGGTGAGTTTGAGCTTTTCGACACACACGGCACAATGGTTATTGCCAACCAGAAGTTGCAAGCAGATTTAACCATCCGTGAGGGGAAGTTGTAATACATGGCGCAGAGGAAGGGCTGTTATCAACGTGTGGCAACGACCGGGCTAGTTGTTGCGATAATCATTGCTGCGGTCGGGGTTTTGCTTTATCAAAGGTTGGGCGGGCTTGAAGGGGCGCGATATTGGATGGCGGAACGTGCTTTAAACGCTGTCGAAGCGCACCTGTTGATGAAAGCCCCGGATGGCAATTGGCTACGGAAACCAGATGGTGTATCCGCCGAAGAAATCGGTTCTCAGTTTGAGCGCGTCCGAAAAGCTACTGCCGATCGTCAGACGGATCTGATACAACTAAATCAGATTCTCAGAGAATACCAATCCAAATTTCAGAACACACAGCCAGCGACAAGTGAAGTCATCCAGTTTCTGAACGCTATTGAGGGAACGATTGTATCAAAAGCGAGCGTGGGAGGCTAACCGGATAACACGAGTAGAGCCTAGAGCCACATTGGGTTGAATACACGCTATGAATGCAAAGAAGGGACAACCAAAAGTGAATCGAGTCGGGTCTACTGCCCAAAGGCTTGCAGAAAAGCCTTACGAAAAGCGCGTGTGCCGTATAGAGTGCTATCCAAGTTGCGTGCGACCAGAGAAGTCGTATGTCGGACCATCCGTCGAAGAATGGGTGGACTTCATCGATGAAGTCGGTGTCGAAGTGCAGGTGGTCGATGGGGAGATTGACAGAGGTACACCCCGCTTTCGCTCAAAGATGATTCCGCCGCACGCCAATGTTGACAACGACTCGCCTACCGAGATTTTTGGAACTAGCACACCAACGGGGCATCCTTATCCTCAGCTACTATCCCATCATATACACCAAGCCGCTCAAACCGCTTCATCCGGAGTGGCTGATGCAGTTTCTGGACAATGGCAGACCGGAGATTGAGAATTTGGGGTGGTTCTGTTTTAACTCACCCTACCGGGACTGGTTGCCGGAATATCTCCTCGAATGGTTGGACAATCTTGATATTGATGGCTTCTACTTCGACGACACCAACTACGGGTCCCATGAGGAGCGCCCCTTTTCCCCCTCCTGTTGTTGTGAGTACTGTGAAAAACTATTTCGGAAAGAGACAGGGTTGGAAATTCCTCGGAAGGTTGACTTTGACTCTCTAGATTTCCGACACTTTGTCAACTGGCGCTACGAGAAGATGAAGGATTTTTATGCACCATCTCTTCCGGCGGATTAGGGCAAAGTATCCAGATGTGATTCTCGACATGAATTCATACATTCGACCAACTGCTGATTGGTCAGACGGTCACCCGCTCAACTCATTCCATCTGGAAGACGTTGGTGGCTATTTTTTCGTGGAGACATTTCGCTCCCTACGAGAACCCAACTTTACAGCAAAAGTGCTGCGGTCAACCGGCACACCCTTCGGTCTTTTCCGAAATGTCACCCAATCGCTACAGGGATTTGGTGGCGCGCCTTATCCTGACATGTTTTCGCCCGCGATCGCTGGATTTGCTGCCATCGCGAACGGCGGTGCCCCGTGTGGAAATCCTTTCGATGGACCAACAACTCTCCATAAGGACACCGTCAAGTCCGTCTTCAGCGAATTTAAGAAACGGGTTGATTACATCAAAGGCGATACAGTCAAATACGTTGCACTCCACTACTCACAGCAGAACCGGGACTTTCGTCCGTCGGAGATTCCCAAGAACATAGGGCAGACCTATTTCCACGAAATTGGACAGAAGGACGCTTACGGTGCCTACGAGATGTTGAATCGATCGCACCTGCTGTTCGACTTCGTTTTGGACGATCGGTTGAACTACGAGACGCTATCCCAATATCGTTTGCTCTTTCTCTCAAACAGCGTGTGTCTGTCCGACGAACAGTGCGAGGCCATTAGAAGATTTGTCTATGAAGGCGGTACGCTCATCGCTACCCATGAGACCTCGCTGCTCGACGAACTTGGACGTGAGCGGGGCAAATTTGCTCTCTCCGATGTATTAGGCGTGGAGTACCGAGGACTGCGTGGGGGCACAAATGACCACGGTATCATATATGTCCCTCAGGATGCAGAGTTGTCCCACAAATTCGGCTATGTCATCTGCTTTTACGGTCAAGAATCTGCGGTGTCCGTTCTGCCGAACGCCGACATCCATGTGCTTTGTACGCGGAGTTGTCTGGAAGGGGAGCGGTTACTGAACGATTTCGACCCAAGGATGGACTACGATTCGCCCGAACCCGCTATCACGATGCACCGTTTCGGGAAGGGGGTGGCGATTTATATCTGCGGTGATGTCGGCGGCGCGTACATGAACAACCCTTATCCGCCACTGAAACGGCTCATCGCCGACTTGGTGAAGCGGACACCTCCACCTATCGAGTTTGAGATGCCAGAGGCTATTGAGGTTAACGCTGCCCACCGAGGTGCGAATGAGTTGATGATTCATCTGCTCAACAATCCCACCCCATTACTGCCGTGGCGCATTGCCAATCGTGAGAAACACGATGCGGAGATGACTACTTTTTTAGCACTCCGTGAGGTAAACCCCATCCACAACATTCGGGTTCAGTTTAATGATTTTGCGGTGAAGTCGGCACGTTTGCCGCTACAGGAGACAAATCTAGAGGTGTCAGGAAACGCTGCGACGGTTGTGGTACCAGCGGTAAGCCTCCACGAGGTACTTCTCGTGGAGTATTAGGATTAAATCGGAGGTCTCGCGATGCAGTTCACACAAGATGTGTACTATCCTGAACAAGGGGAAGAATGGGAACGCAGAAAGCCAGTGGACGTGGGTATGGACGCTGATTCCCTCAACGAAGCGGTTCACTATGCCCAGACGATTGAAACCGCATGGCCTCGTAAACTGCGGCTGCACTACACCGAGAATGAAAGGGGAGAATCCCACCCCGAGGTCATCGGACCGATAAAAGACCGGGGCGCGACCAACGGGCTTATCTTACGGCACGGCTACATCGTCGCTGAGTGGGGCGAGACGCAGCGCGTCGATATGACGTTCAGTATCAGCAAGAGCTATCTATCCACGATGGCAGGGCTAGCACTAGACCGCGAACTGATTCGAGACGTACATCACCCCGTCCGGGACTATGTAAACGATGGTGGGTTCGATTCACCACATAACGCTCAAATTACTTGGCACCATTTGCTCCAACAGACGAGCGAGTGGGAGGGGACGCTATGGGACAAACCCCACTATGCCGACGGTCAAGGAGAGCAAGGTCCTGACAGCCCGCTTCAAGCACCCGGCAGCGTCTTTGCTTACAATGATGTTCGTGTCAACCGACTGGCACTCTCCCTGCTGCGTATCTGGCGCAAGCCGCTGCCACAGTTGCTAAAAGACAACGTGATGGATCCCATTGGTGCTTCCAACAGTTGGCGATGGCATGGCTACCGGAATTCGTGGCTGACAATTGATGGACTGAAGATGCAGTCGGTCAGTGGTGGCGGTCATTGGGGCGGTGGGGTATGGATTAGCACCAGAGATCACGCGCGGTTTGGTTATCTGTTCCTGCGCCGTGGCCGCTGGGGGGAACGACAGATACTTTCTGAGCGATGGATAGATTTAGCGACCACCCCGTGTCCGGTTGAACCGGATTATGGCTATATGTGGTGGCTCAATACGGACAGACAACTTTTCCCAAATGCACCGGAGACCAGTTTCTATGCCCTAGGTGCTGGGCGGAACGTGATCTGGATCGAACCGGAAAACGATTTGGTGGTTGTGGTGCGGTGGATAGATACAGACCGTGCTGACAAATTGATGAAACGTGTGTTGGCGGCGGTTCGCTAGACAAACAAGCTCTGGTTCTGTTTTATGGGACTCTGTGCCAAGAGGCAATCCGTTAATCTGGCAAGTCCCGATTAATTGAGAGGAGAAATGTAATGCCACACGAATGGGATTCGCCCGAATATGTTCACCAATGGGTAGAAGATGGCGACAAATCAGACCCGCAACGGGCGGAACAGATTACCGCGCTCGTGGGTTTGATTCGACGCAGCCCTGAAGAACCTATTGAGGTATTAGATCTCGGTGCGGGATACGGAATTGTAACACGCGAGATTCTGACTGCTTATCCGAATGCACAGGTGGTGTGCCTCGATGGTTCAGCAGAGATGCTAAAGCATGGGAAAGCGCGGCTAGCAGATTGGAGAGATCAACTCTCTTTTGTTGTATCGAACTTTGATTCTCCGAATTGGTTGGCAACCCTGCCAGACAATCGACAGTTCGATGCGGTGCTTTCGTCGCGAGCCATTCACCACACTGTTGATGATCGTAAACAAGCGCTATACGAAGAAATCTTTCAGCTGCTAAAACCGGGCGGTTGCTTTGCCAACCACGATTTCGTTCGCAAGCCCGATGAGTCCGTGCGCGACATTGACAATCCATTTGGAACGGTTGAAGATCAGGTTGCTTGGCTTGAAAACATTGGGTTTGTTGATGTGGAATGTTTTTGGCAGACGGAGGGTCGTGCCTTGTTTGGGGGATACAAGTCAGGTCCCACGTAATGGGCAGGACACGCTCTAGAGGGATTATATGAGTCTCCAGTCGGAGGAATATTTTGGCGCAAACAGTTCAACTAAACCGTTTTAAGAATTATATGCTGATGGTTCACCGCAGCATTGGTTCGGATCTATTCCGAAATCTATACGCTTCTGTTGACGAGGAAGAGATAGATATCCTACGAGATGGAATACTTTCTTGTGCCTATTTCGTTTCATCGGTACTTTTCCATTGTAAACTGATAGATGACCTACACACGACCGTCAAGGGGCTAGAGGCGAATCTCCAGCGGTCGGGCTGGAACAAGATAGAAGAACCGAAAGTTGGTAGTGTCCTAGTCTGGGAACCGACGGAATTTCCTGACGGTGGTATTCGTAGACACGCAGGGTTTTACATCGGCGATGCGGAAGCAATCAGCAATCGGACAGATCAGCGCGTACCCAAGGTTCACAGCATGAATTTTGAAACAGAGGGAAAGTATCGTGCAATTGAAGCCATTTATTGGCACGAAAATTTCGATGAAGCGGACAGCTAACCACGCAACGGAGCGAAGCGATTGGAAAACTACAGAAACAAAGTAGTCATCATCACTGGGGCGTGTGGCGGCATCGGAGAGGCAATTGCCGAAAAATTTGCGGATGCCGGGGCGACGCTAGCCCTTTGTGACATCCGTCAAGATGAACTTTCACAGACTGCTGAAAAGTGCCGACAGGCAGGGGCAACCGTCCACAGCAATGCCATTGATGTTGCGGATGAAGCCCCGGTGCGTGGTTTCTGCGAAACAGTTGCCCAAACTTTCGGAACGATTGACTGCCTGATCAATACTGTCGGCATTGTCGATTGTCCGGGAGATGTCGAAGAACTTTCGCTGTCAATGTGGGACAGGACAATCGCCGTCAATCTTACCTCCGCTTTTCTGATGGCAAAGTATTCGGTGCCGTATATCAAACAACGGGGTGGTGCCATCCTCAACATCGCTTCGGTGTCGGGCTTGGCAAACCAAGAGGATGCGACGATCTATTCAGTGACCAAAGCAGGACTGCTATCGCTCACCCGGAGCGAAGCTATAGATTTGGCAAAATACGGCATCCGCGCCAACGCTATCTCGCCCGGATCGGTGGAGACGCCACTATTGGAGGCAGCGGTTGACCAAGCGGCGCAACTGTTTAACCGTACCAGAGACGAGCAATGGCAGGTCTGGCGTTCGCAATACCCGACCCAACGTTTTACATCACCACAAGAAATCGCGGAACTAGCACTGTTTTTGTGTAGCGAGAGAGCGACCAATATCACCGGCGCCAATTTCGTCATTGATGGCGGATTGACGGCGCTGCTCCCGGAGCGATAGCATATTAAGCGATCTATCATTGGTCTATGGCGAGTGCAAAGGAGTAGGTAAACAACATGGCTCAAGAACGTGTAGTATACATCAATGGAGAGATAGTTCCAGAGAGCGAGGCGAAGGTATCCTTCCGTGATCAAGGATTTGTAACTGGGGACGCGGTCTTCGATGCGACCCGCACTTTCGGCGGGGTGATATTCAAACTAAAGGAACATCTGGGCCGGTTGTACGATTCGCTAAAATATATGCGTCTGGATCCGGGGATTCCGCAGCATCAGATGGCAGATCTAACTATGCAGGTACTAAAGGCAAATCAGTCTCTATTGGGAGCAGACGATGACTATTGGGTGATACAGCGGATTAGCAGAGGTGTTCCCATAGGAGGAGGCAAATATAAGCCAACGGTGATTATCGAGTGCAACCCTTTGCCGTTTGCTGCGAGGGCACGGTATTACCGTGACGGTCTGAGCGTCGTCATCCCTTCAATAAGGCGGACGCCACCTGAGTGTATGAGTCCTAGGGTCAAGGTGCACAATTACATCAACCTTATACTTGCTGATCAGGAGGTAAAGGCGCAGAACCCGGACGCCTTCTCTATCTTGTTGGACATCAACGGTAATATATCCGAAGGTCTCGGAAGCAATTTCTTCATTGTCAAGAACGGGGTGGTAGTTACACCAAAGGAGCAGTACGTCTTAGCAGGTATAAGCCGTGAGACTGTCATTGAACTCGCCCAAGGTCTGAACATCGAGGTGCAAGAGGCAGATGTCGATCTCTATGATGTCTACACAGCGGACGAGGCTTTTGTGACCTCTACCAGTTTTTGCATCTGCTCTGTGTCCTCTATCAACGGTTCAACCATCGGTGATGGCGGTGTGCCGGGACCGGTTACCGATCACCTCCAGACAGCGTATAGTGGTCTTGTGGGAATAAACATTGTGGGGCAGTATCTGAAGCGACTCGGTTGACCAAGGCTTTGGCTCAAAACGATACTCACTCGTATATTAAGGAAAAAATAGATATAAAGAGATAGTGGTTGGAATATCTAAAATACTCCAGAGGCTACCCTAGGATATAGTCTCCTAGCGCGAGTCCTAAAAAGAACGGAACTGCGCGTCGATATGCGTTGAATCCGCCATAACGTAGGATGACAGCCTTGCATACCCAAACAACAAAGAGACAGCACCACAGATTCCCCATCCCCCAACTCTGCGCTGTCGCATAGCCGAGTGGATGGAGTGACCACCACAGGAAGCGCGCTCGCAAAAACATCAGCAAGACAGTAAACACAAGCCCACCCCCCATAAAGGCAAACGCTGGACGATCTGGCTCTTTGGGGGAGTTCACCCAATTTTCAAGTTGCACGTAGACCTCACGCCCAAATCCCAATGTAGCGGATCGAAGTATCCAGATTCCGCGCCATGTCGATAGTAGATATCCAACAAGAGCCAAAAGGTCACCCCCGATCCGATCACCGTCGCAAGCAGAATAGCAACGGCTGTATGACGCGGGTTAATATGCCGCCTTTCCGAGATTTTCAAGGCTTCCAGTTGCTCTGGCATTGGATTTGCCCAATTGGCGCGATTAAAAAACATGTACAGCGAAAAGACTGCCAGCGTGCTGGAATTAAGTCGCCATGTGCCAACACCGACAACAATCATGTTATGTGGACTGATGTATTTCAAACCGTGTACTAGGAATCCCAACTCTGCCCTTAACCGGGTGATCATTATCGCTAGTAAGAAGTAGATTGCGAAAAAAATTGGAATCACCCATAACGACATGCCTGCTTTGTACGAAAATGCCATCAGGAAAATCGTGCCGATCAGGATACCCGCGAAAGCAAGACGATATGGCATCGGTTCGCCGGAATCATCTAGTTGTGACGGAGAAGCGCGGGAACTGAACAGATGACGCATCTAGCCCTTTGATATGAGATCTGCCAGTCCAGAGGACGAATCCTAGCAGCCCCATATATACACCGAAGCCCTGTTCGGCGGGATAAGGGAAGCGCGGTAGACCTCGCCAGCCCATGACGCTACCAACCATCAGTTCGATCTTGTAGATCCAGAAAAACGCCCAGCATGAAAATAGGAGATCCAGCGGTATAAGAAAGCCGATCCCAATCGCAAAAGGATAGAAAGCAACTTGCACACCGCCCATCCCGTTCCAAGGGCGGGTGGTAAAATAGTGACCGATGCTCTGGCGCTTGACGGGAATATAGGGAACAACAGGGTTGATTGAGTGGAGCAGGTTCACAATACTAATCAAGGCAGCGATGCCGAAACCAAGCCACATCAACCTGTTTCTGAAGAACCCTAACCTCGGATTGGTCATCTCTAACGGGAGTTGGGTCAGGGGATATGTCAACCGCTCGCGCTCGATCCACTGGATTCGCAACAGCGCGTTGATACACAGCATCACAACCATCCACGCAAAGATAAACGCCATCCACGTCACCGCCGGACCAAGCCATGCCTTTAAATACCTCTCAATGTAAAGGCTTGAACCCCCTTCGTAAAGAGCCGTCACCGCTTTTTCGTCGTGAACGGTGAGCCACTCCGGAAGTTGTCGCCAAAACAGTTGACGCCATTCGTTTTCGGGGCTAGCAAACCGGAACGCATGCGCCATGATCGGTATGAAGATCTCCATACAGTCGTACGAACAAAGGGTGGAGACAATACACAGCATGAAGTAGATCGTGAGGAGTTCCTGTTGAGAAAGACCGAGCTTGGGGGAGATTTTGCCGAATATCCACCCGATCAGAACGAGCCAGAAGAGTGTAAAAATGACATGTGAGAGCGGATGAACAAGCGTTGGGAAGGTATGGCGAACTACTTCAAGCTGAATGATCCAAGCAACAGTGATCGGAATCAGCAGGAAGCAATAAACGAATGATTTAAGTGTTAAACCACTCTGGAAGGGCACAGGGGTATTTTCTATTAGGGTAAAACGAGTATTTTGAGGTTCTGTCGATATACTTTTCATCTCACCAACTATATGTGTTGATATCTATGATGAGCAGGTCGATATTATCTCTGTCCGCTAGGGAAAAAATTGATACAGAGTAGTATTGGCTACAACACTGATAATACTCCAAAGACTGCCTAAAATATAGTCTCCTAGGGCAAGCCCTAAAAAGAAGGGGATCGCCTGTCGATACGCTTTAAGTCCACCGTGGCGTAGGATGATTGCTTTCAACCCCCATGCAACAAAGAGACACGCCCACAAATTGAACATTCCCCAGCTATTTGCCATGGCATAGCCGAGTGGATGGAGGGGCCACCATAGAAAACGTGTTCTCAGGAACATGAGCAGTGCTGCGAGACCGAGTCCGCCTCCCATGAAAGCGAGAGCTGGAAACATCCGTCTCTTGGGGATAGTTCAGCCAGATTTCGAGTTGACGATAGATGACTCGTCCGAACCCTAATGCCCATGGTCCATAGTACCCGGTTTCTGCGCCGTGTTGGTAGTAATTATCTAACAACACCCAAAAACACTCACGGATCCAATTAAGGTAGCAAGTAGAATAGCTGCAGCTATATGACGCGGATTGATATTTCGCCTTTCAGCAATTTTCAGGGCTTCCAGTTGTGGTGGCATCGGGTGAGATCGATAGGCGCGATTGAAAAACTGATATACAAGAAAAGACGGTCAAGGTGCCCGATCCCTAGGCGACGTGTTCCAAATCCGGCGAGGATCATGCTGTGAGGGTCAATGTAATGTAAATCGTGTACCAAAAAACCCAATTCCGCACGGAGTCTCGCAATCATTATCGCTACTAGAAAGTAAATCCCGAAAAAGATCGGAGTAACCCACAAGGACATCCCCGCTCTGTAGGAAAATACCATCAGAAACATCAATCCACTAATATGCCGGCGACTGCCAAGCGGTATGGCATCGGTTCACGGGAATCATCGAGTGAAGATGAGCCTAGCATATGGCGCACTAATCCTTTGAAATGGACTCTGCCGATCCACAGCACAAATACGAGCAGGTAACGTAGACACCCAATGCCTGTTCGTTGAAATAAGGAAAGCGCGGAACTGCGCCACCCCATCATGTTACCGACCATTAGTTCGATCTTATAGACCCCGTAAAACATCCAGCATGAAAAGAGGAGATCTAGTGGTATGAGGAAGCCAATGCCGATGACAAAGGGATAGAACGAAACCCGGAAGGAGCCCATCGCATTCCAAGGGCGGACGGTGAAATATTGGTGTAAATTCTGACGCTTGACGGGAATATAGGGAACGGCGGGGTAAATCGAATTGAGCAGATTCATTATACTAATCAACGCAGCGATGCTGAAGCCAAGCCACATCAGCTTATTTTTAAAGAATCTGTTTCCGGTGTCCGTCATTTCCAGTGGAAGTTGAATGATTGGGTAGGTCAACCGTTCCCGTTCCGTCCACTGAATCCGTAACAACGTATTGATGCACAGCATCACAAACATCAGCACAAAGATAAATGGGACGTATGCCAGAGCGGGACGGAGCCACGCATGCAGGTGCCGTTTGATATAGAAACTGGATCCTCCCTTCGTAATAGGGGGTTAGTGCCTTTTCATCTTGGACAGTGAGCCAAGCGGGAAGCTCCTTCCAGAACAGTTCGCGCCATTGATTTTCAGGTGTTGCAAAACGGAAGGGATGCCCCAAAATGGGGATTAAGATCTGCATCGAGTCACCCGAGCAAAGGGACGATACGATACCCAACATGACATAGATCGTCAGAAAGCTCCGGCGGACTAATTCCAAGCTTGGGAGAGATTTTCTTGAGGAGGTACCCAATCAGAAAGCAGCCAAAACAGAATGAAAACGACATTTGATAGGGGATGGACGAGCGTAGGAAACGTGTAGCGAACGACTTCAAGTTGAACAATCCAGTAAATATTGATCGGAATGAGGCACAGGGCAATGAGAAAAGATTTGGGAGTTAGACCGTTTTGGAAGGTCGTTTCGGGCACTATATTATGCCTCCAATGGAGGTGATGAAAACAACGTTAAACTCGATAAGGGGTTTGTGAACGTAGTACGCTGTTCAACTCTCATCATAAATCGTGATGCGTTAAGGTCGAGAAGCACTGTCAGCTGAACATCCTATTGGAGATGATATCGGATGAGACTAAAATTAATGGAGATTTTAGCCTTCACCAAATAAACCGATACATCGGTCTCTGTACAATCACACCAATCAGCGCCCATACACCTCCGAGTAGAAACTCGCCGAACAGCATTCCTAGAAAGAACGGTGCTAGGCGACGAAACGTCCTTAAGCCTCCAAAGCGGAGAACGCACCATTTAATCACCCAAGCAACGAGCACCGAAGACCAGAAAAAGTTGACCGCCCATGTGCCTGTGATGCCGTATCCAACAGGATAGAGGGGCCACCAAACGAAACGATGACGTAAGGCGGTGAGAGCGAAAGTGAAGAGCGTGCCGAAGAGCATTGCCAAGATTCCCAAGATGTCCACAGGCGTTGGATTGGTGAGCCAGCCCTGAGTCCGTCGAAAGACACCGCCGCCCCAAAACGCCACCGCACCGGATTCGTAGCCGAGCTGCAATCCACCCAAGAACAGGGGCAGCGGGCTGATGACAACGGCGATTAGTATCGCGAATCCGACACGACGCGTTGAGATACCTGTCCGCTCGGCGAGTTTCAATCCTTCCAATTGCGGCGGCATGGCATTGCCCCGATAAGCACGATTAAAAGGAAATACGAGCGCAAACAGGCTGAGGTTTCTAGGACCCAATTGTCGCATGCCAAACATCTGTGGAATTAGCACATCAGGTCCCATCCTGCGGAGATCATGGAGCGGGGGACCGAGCTCGGCGCGGATGCGAGTCGTAACGGTCACGGTTGTAAAATGGATGATGAAGACTAGGACAGCAACCCAGAGCGACATCCCCGCTACTACCCAAAAACCGATCAGCAGCAGGAAACCGATAACTACTCCGAGGACCGCCGT